AAACTTAAAAATTTCTTAAATTCTTTAAGAATTGTTAACAACTCTGATGCCTAGTTTATTTCCAAACAAATTTTGCCTTTCTTAATTTTTTTGAATAGCTCTCCAGCAGTTTTTGCCGGACACCTTCTGAAATCATTCCTATTCAGTGTATTCTAAGGTCATGTCTGTTTCCTTTAAATTTCTCTTGACTGCTCTTTTAAAATCCTTTCAACTCCCTCAAAATTCTTCTTGAACTCCTTCTGAATTCTTTGGACTACCTAAATTCGTGTTGGTGCTCCTACAAATTTTGACTAGTTTGTCATAAACTCATAATTTTCACTTAAATTTATCTTGAGTTTCTCTTGAACTTCCTTTTATATCTATATTTTTGAAAACTTATCGAGAATAATATCATTTAACAACATTAATTACTGAAATTCCTCTTGATTCCTAACAAATTCGCAAATTTTTCTAAATTTTTCGGTAGTTCATTCAAAATATCTCTTTTAAATTTTTGAATAAATGAATCTGTAAGCTTTAATTTCTTAAAATTCTAATGGATTTCACATGAACACAGTACAGAGAATATTTAGGGAACCCTTATTCAACTCTTCTTTAAATCATCCCAAATTCATTTTGCTAAATTTTTCTTGAATATTCTCATAGAATTCCTCGCTTGTCTCTTCCAAAATTTTTACTTTTTTTCCAAAACGAATTTTTGGCGAATTGGTCTTACTTGTATTTTTGTGTAATGTATCTAGAAAGACCATCCTTGAGACTGTTACTGAAATTTAAAAGTACAAATTTAATGTGAAAAGTGCTGTGAGACAATACACTTAGAAACAATGATAAATATTACATGGGTCTCCAACAATAGAAATAACAAAAGATTATGTAAAATAATTATGTTTTACAATCTCTTTCGGTACCCTTTCTTACATCTGAAGGTAACGCTAATTAACCAAAGGTTAACGTACTAACTCTCTTCAATCTTAATTAGTTGACTAAACAAACAATGTAATCGCTACCGTAATACGGAAAAGGGAAAAAAGATTAAACGAAACGAGATAGATCATTTTTGCCAGTTTCCGTTTCCGCGCAAGGTGATGGATCGCTCATTTGCGGACTGTCATAAATTTCGTTTTTTTATTTAATTAAATATCGTGTAATTGGATGAGGTTAAAATCAAACGACATGTGTGGAAAAAATCGTCACTGACATTATCATTTCATCCCCTATGAATATTTAAAAAATGTAATTAGTAAAGTGACAAATACTTTTATTCAGTTGGGATTTCCCCTGTACGCTTTTCATTCCGGGTCATTGCGAGCGCATCATGTTTCATGGTGCTGCTGAAACAAAGCATGTTCTCCTCTACGGTTTAGTTGATAAATAATGTCGTGGGATTTTATGTTACAAATTTTGTGATCGGTACTCTTTTTACGCTTCGTTAACTTTAGTCTGCCGATACTAGGTCGCTTTGGCCATTACCTACTTTAGGGATAAATTATGATTAAGCTTTCCAGCTCCATTATTTATCAAGGGGATGATTTCTAAAACTTTAGCAAGGTTGTAGAAGTCGCTCGTGTAACACCAAATTAAATTCGTCAACCCCTAAAGCTCTCATTGCATATTGATAAACACCTGCTATACCGTGTTTTCTTTGGGGGTTGATGGAAAGTTTGGAAATGTGCACTCTGTAAGCAAAACTTATGTAAAATACCTTCGAAATAGTCATTTACAACTAATTCGTGTAGTCTAGTCAAATCGAGTAAAAGGATAAAGATGTTACAATTAATTTCCTTTCTTTAGTTCTGGAACTTTTCTTTTAGTTTTAACGCCATCCCCTACAATTAGACCTTTTTGTTTGTTATTTTTTAGGTTAACGTTGAAATTGATTTTTTGTTGGTTTTTATTTTGTAAATTGTGTTGAAATTTTCCTTCCTTCTTTTGAGTCTTTGTAATTTCCCCATTTATCTGTTTTACTCCTTTAATTCCTTACCATTTTGAGCAATAACTTTAACATAATTTGTTGGTCTCGACCGTACATTAGTAACTGCTACTTCAAGGCCTCCACGGGTCCGTTAACTTGGCCCCCCACTGAGAGATTTTATAGTCTTATTATTTTGAAATGAATGCGCTCGTTATGCGCTCATATGCGCCACCGATAATAACTCTTGCGCCATTATCGTTTTTTAGAAATCCGAAAAAACATTTAGGGGGGGGCCAAGTGAACGTAGCCCCCCCCAGTACGTATTTTGTCCTTGTAACTAGGTCACCTGATACATTTGGTTATGCGCTCAATTGCGCCACTTGAATTAAAGCTAGCGCCATTACGGTTAAGCCGTGACAAATTTTCAAAAAGTGGGGGGCCAACTTAACGTTTTTAAAAGTTACTTTTTTTTAACATCTTTTCATACGAAATTGTACTCTCAGGTATGCGCTGAAATGCGCCGTAAAAAGATATCTTTGCGCCATTATTGTTTTTTGGTTATCCTTAAATATATTTGGGGGGGGGGGGCAAGTGAACGGAATCCCTCATAACGCATTTTGCTACCGGTATTTGTGTCACTTGATACATCTGGTTATGAGCTCAATTGCGCCACTTGAATTAAAGCTAGCGCCATTACGGTTAAGCCATAAAAAAATTTTAAAAAGGGGGAGGGGGACTAACTTAACGTTTTCAAAAGTTACGTTTTTTTACATGTTTTTTCTACTACATCGTACCTTTCATCATGCGCTAAAATGCGCAGTAAACAAAAATCTTGGCGCCATTATAGTGTTTCAGAAACACTATACAGGGTGTTTTTTTGGGAGCTTTAGTTAAACGATTCTGAGAAAATAAAATAGGTAGGTTTTGAAAAATTTGTATTTAGGAGTTACTCCGAAGGCCGAATCGATGTAAAATATTTTCAAAATGGACGCACTTCCGGAAATAACTTTTGAAAACGCTAAGTTAGACACTCCACTTTTTAAAAAATTTTTTATGGCTTAACCGTAATGGCGCTAGCTTTAATTCAAGTGGCGCAATTGAACTCATAACCAGATGTATCAAGTGGCACAAATACCGGTAGCAAAATGCGTTATGGGGGATTCCGTTCACTTGCCCCCCCCCCTCAAATATATTTAAGGATAAAACCAAAAAACAATAATGGAGCAAAGATATCTTTTTACGGCGCATTTCAGCGCATACCTGAGAGTACAATTTCGTATGAAAAGATGTTTAAAAAAAAGTAACTTTTAAAAACGTTAAGTTGGCCCCCCCACTTTTTGAAAATTTGTCACGGCTTAACCGTAATGGCGCTAGCTTTAATTCAAGTGGCGCAATTGAGCGCATAACCAAATGTATCAGGTGACCTAGTTACAAGGGACAAAATACGTACTGGGGGGGGGCTACGTTCACTTGCCCCCCCCAAATGTTTTTTCGGATTTCTAAAAAACGATAATGGCGCAAGAGTTATTATCGGTGGCGCATATGAGCGCATAACGAGCGCATTCATTTCAAAATAATACGACTATCAAATCTCTCAGTGGGGGGGGGGGGGCCAAGTTAACGGACCCGGTCTCCACCATCTTGTAATCGCGTTTACTACCCCTATTTTCGCGAGTAGTATAGACCAGGTCCGATTGCAGCCACCGCTGTGCCAATGATTATAGGAAACAGTACGTTCAATGCACTATGCACTAATATTACTTACAAGGGGTAGGATTACCATCCCCGCTCCCAATTATGGGGAGAATAGGGAGAAAGCTATGTCAATTGGATAAGAAAATTATGGAATGTATGAACATTGTTTAAGATGTAGAATGATAATTTTACAAAACTTTATTCCAGTCCCTTTGTATATCTACCGAAAAAAGTTTAAATTCCATTTGAAAGCCCAATTTCTTTTGTACATTAGCGAATAACTTTTCTACCCTATGTGTCCGCTACCAACGGAAATTCTATTTCCTTTACAAACATTATATATTATATTTGTGGCTATAAGATTCCAGGTCTCGTTTACAAATTTTTTCGCCTCTAGCATTAAAGTTTCACTGAAAACTGAATTTACATGCATCGGGTTGCGATGCAACAAACGGCTTGTCGTTAATCCACATCCTTTTCTCCGTTCGAAACTAATGGTAAGCCTCAAAATTGTGGGTTAAATATAAAGGGAATTAAAAACAAAAGAGGTATCGATCGCAATCTAGCATAATTAAATCCTTTTTAAAGCCTTTGTTAACATATCCATAGAAGATTTAGGCATTTTTTTTTCGAAATAAAAGCTCGTACTTTCCAGTCCAGTCATAATTACTTTATCTTTTAATAATTGACAGGGAGCTTTTCTGGTACACAATTATTAAAGCTACACATCTCTTTCCATATGTATCGTTTCTCATCATATCTATTCTCTGTTACAATTTTCACCTTTCATTTCATTTTTTTTTCATTTTTGAGTCCATATAAACACGGTATCCCTTGAGAAGTGCCAATGAAAGATGAAAAGAAACATGAATTGAATATTTTCCGGTGTTAAAACAGTCCCCAACTCGGAAATATTTGCAAAGATGGAAGGTACAAAAGCATCCGTACCGAAGGATGTGACTATCCTGAACAGGTTTGAATAAAAAGGAGGGTAACTGGAATTTAGCCCAAAAATGGAAGTTCTGTAATTCATTTTTGACGAAAAACTCGGCGGGACTCAGACGCCACCAGAAGATTACAACCTTACTTCTGGTCAAGGGTCGACGGTGATGCAACGGTTTCGGTAGCCACAAGCAGTCAGTTGAAGAAACGGGTCGGCGGGCTGTTACGGCCAAGAAAACAACTAAAACAAAATTACGACATACGAACACTGTGCGATTTCTCAAGCGGTAACGGATGCACAAGTCAATTAGCGGTAGCTAACAGGTAGCAGAACAAAGGAAAGCAAACCCCTTTTATAATTAGCGGAATCAAGCGCTTACCTTGAAATTATACGATACGGTATAATGCAAAATTGAACTTTACTAGGTAAATAATAATGTTACCTTATATCGAATTCCATCGAAATTTCCAGCTGGCGGCTTGTTGAGGTAATAACGTCCAAAAATTAAAACTTCTTTAACTAATTACTCGATTCCCTGCTATCCTAAAAATCTGGGACCAGCCTTAAAATTATTGCCAATTAAGCGCGTTTTATTTGACACTAAACACAAGGTAATCAAACGATGTTTGTTAATTAGCTACTGCTGGGTGAAATTTCCAAAATTCGGCAGCTCGGTTAACACCGCTTGCGTCCCGGAATCTTGGGATCAAGCGTCTGGTCACATTATCTAGTCCTATCTACGTGTAAATGAGCTACCTTGCCTGTTTCTATCCTAGTTTTAAATTAACATAGGACTAATACCTAAATTAACGGAGCAGGAATCCTAAAATATTAATATTAATTGCCTCCCCATGCGGAGGGCTGTCGGATCCTACAAAAATAAATTACATATCTCTACGGGAGCAATAAGCTTCTCGGCAGCTGGTTTTCTTATCAGCGGCTCTACAAATCAAAACATTACTATTACTTTTTGTTTTTCACTCCCAGAAAAGAAATGCATAGATACGGAACTACAAGGAAGCGCCCGCTTGAGTTTCTCGAAGTACCAGGTGTTCATTTAAGCTGGTAGCTTCCATCAATGTACAACATTCAATTTATTTTATACAAATACTCGCTCTTTTACCTTCTGGTATTTCATTAATGTACAGTGCGTTCATTAATATTCTGATATAACTCCTGTACGAAAACGGGTTGCAGAATCATCAAATTTAGAAAAGGTTGGAGAATGATTTACGACCATAACTCTAATTTGGTTAATATGGTGGGATTGAACAGTTGGAACATTTAAAGTCCCCAGCGGTCGATTCATTTAGGGTATATAATCTTCGGTTCCTCTTTACAACTTACCATTAGTTGGGCGCCACCCAGTTTATTAAGCATAACTCTCCCTATAAAGTACTAGGAAAATTCAAGGAAAATAACAATCAAATAAACAAAAGAAAACTAAAACAAACGCGATAACATTTCCAATTAAAAAGAAACCGATCAAAGTGGCAGCAATTGTGAAAATCACGAATTTACCGCGAGTAAATTTCCAAAACTGCGTTAAAATCCTTTTGTACGTGGAGACCGCGCGGGCTGAGATAAGTGGGACAGCAATCTACAATACACTTTACCGTTTACATATTCATGACCGTACATAAAATTACTTTGTATTTCGTAGGTATTATTAAACCGAAACTTGATGTACAGAAATCAGTCGTAAAAGTCTCAAAGTAGCAATAAAATTCAAACGCCGTAATATCGCTACATTGTTGCTTGACAGTATATCGTTGCCAATCTACCATAAACTTTGGGGTAGATTCGCCCAGATTCGGTAGGGTTAAGCCATTTTATTATAAATTTGATACAACGCGCGCATATGGAAGCTTGCATAAATTTGATTGTACATTTTACATAATATACATTTTCGTAAAGGGTTCTATTTATTTAACTCAAAATGTGTGTAAGGGCATCGATAAAAGTTAAACGCAGTTAAGCATCGCAAATCGACTAATAAAAAATGTCAGCGTGTAAATAAGCCGGGCAGAAATCCAATCCATTTTGTACTGTAACCGTTTTCTTTTGCTCCTTTACGTAGAGAGAAAGCTTCAACATTAACCATTTAAATTAACTGCGAGCTAGCAACTATAATGGAGTTAGTTAGGCGTACTGGCGGAAAACTTTAAGGGTAAATTTCGCGATAATTCGAAAAATACCTCACTAAACACACATTCGCCGAGTTAATTAAATTGCGGATACAAATGAGCGTTATTAACTAAAGTATTGCGTGCGGTAAATGAAATTAGCGCTTTGGGGTAATGAGGACGACGAGCTGGGGAGCATTTTTCATGCGGATTATTACAAGTTTTCGCATAATTCGCTTCTTTTTTACTTACAATTCAAGTTTAAAAATCGTTTTCGCACGTGTTCTATCTATGTATTGTGTACTTTTCATTGTATACAGTGATGCACAATTTTGATTAATAAACATACACACATACATACATAAAGATTAATAAACAATTTATCTAAACGTGAATACACTAATGCAATAACACACAAATGTTCACGTGCATATTAAGAAAGGAACGTACTCGCACTGTATTTACGATTGAACCTAAATCAGCCGTCCGTTAATTTCCTCTTTTAGCATAAATACGCTGCTTATTATTGGTTTTTCTCGTAATTGCAACTCATACAATAATTTGAATTAAAGAATTCAATATTACGCGATTTAAAAATGCCGCGTAGTTTTTCCTCGCAAGCTTCACTAATAATTCGTCTGTCCCACCCGATTTTTACTTATGTACTCGCTACATCCAAAACTGGCCCAACGCAAAATGGGCTTCGGCTATGTTTCTATCCATGTAAAGGTGTGGCAGAAACGCAGTCCCTCACGCTCCGTTAGGACGGTTTTCAATTCTCATCCGCTGCACACTCGTTTCTTATTTTCTTATCTTAAAGCGCTTTATTTTCTCGCGTATTAGTTCTGTTATTTTTCATTATGAAGGGGTGCACATATTAAATTTGCTATATCGTCAAGTTTGTAAATTCAAAGCCAACATTTTCTAAGAGTAAAGCGACCACCTGTTACAGATACCGAATTTATCATTTATGTAAAAATTTGTGCGCAAACAAGGTTTAGATTATCTTAAAACCTTTGCCTGTTGGATATAAGGAGTGGATTCATGGAAATCTAAAATAAAAAGGCAATAAAGGAATACGGGGGTGAGTGATTATAGGATTGAGTGGTTCTTATAGGTACAAAATTTACTGTTGGAACAGCAATAAGAACACGTGGGTTAATTAAAATTAGTCCGATAACAAAACTTCTTATCGCAAACGGCCAGATGTCCCTACATCTAAATCTAAATAAACAATTTAAATTTTAATCAAGAAAATAATACGCAATTGCAAACAATAAACCAACGTTGTGCTTATTTGTAAATAATCCACCAGATTTACACTTAATAAATTGAGATATTGTCATATACAGGGTGTCTCGACACACGTAACAATTCATATCCAACATTTGAGTAAAATCCGTGGAGCGGTTACATACATACAGACGGAAAAATGTTTATTCTTTAAAAGTTGCTTGAAATCGTTGACATTTAATAAAATTTTGACATGTCCAAAAAACGGTGACCGCAGTAGCCACCTGGCTCAAGATAGGGTTACATATTTTAGACGATCTTGCCGAAGACAGTCGCGTTAATAGTAAACGGTCGCTTTGGTAGAGACCTATCGGGTACTATGAAGGACGAAACCGTTCCATTTAGTTAGTAGGTTGGTCAGAACAATATTCTAGTCATCTTCTACCAAATTCAAACCTTATACTCCCCAATCACTTTTAAAGGAACTTTTTCCTTCGTTTAAAGTCCGCTATTTTCCATCTAGTTTAACCCTTCTGCGCCTTTAACAATTTTTCTAGCCTATAAAGCCTCCTTTACCTTCTTCGGCAGGTAAATGTGGTCTAAATTCCTTTTCTCTTTGAGTGAATATTTCGTAAATTGCTCATACATTTTTGCCGAACGAATTTTTAAATTCCTTTTTATTAATCCTGAGTGTTTCTTAAACTTCTTTTGGATCCCGCATGAAGACTTCATGAACTTTTCTTAAAAGTTTCTTAAATTGCCGAACAGATTCTTATTGAATTCTCTTTACAATTCCTGGCATCTTATTTGAAGCGCTGAATTTCCGCAGATTATTCCATAATACTATCTTTGCACTAAAATTGCTACACTTTTCCTAAATTCTTTCGGGTGCTTTTCAGAACTTCTCCTGAGTTTCTTCTAAATTTTTCTCAATTTTTTAGGACGAATTGGTCCTTTGATTCCTTTATTATATTTTTCATATTAAATCGGTCCACCTGACGGTTTGAAACCTAGCGAATTTCTCCTCGTCCTTAGGCCCGATTGCTTTTTTTGAATCCCTTGAGAATTTCCCAGACATTTTTGTTAATTGCCTTTTGAATTCGTGCTTGAATTAAGTTAATAATTTAGCTATAGTCTAATTAGCATTTTTTAAATCTTCTGGGGTTTCCTTTAAAACCCGAATTACTAAAAGGTTGTCCTAAAAATCTTTGAATGGTGTGCGGTAAATTCGCCCCGGAAGACTCGCCCCGGTAAATTCCCCCCCGAAAATTCGCCCCCAAGTAAATACGGCCCCAGAGTATTCGCCCCCAAGTAAATTCGCCCCCGGAATATTCGCCCCCAACAACATTTATTAACCCTCGGAAGTAATAGGTTGGTTTGGTAACATATTAAACAAATACCCTGTTACCTCCGAGGATTAATAAATCTTATGGGGCGAATCCTACGGGAGCGGAATCGCCGGGGACGAATCTTCCAGGAGCGAATTTGTCGGGGGTGAACTTGCTGGGGGCGAATTTTCCTGGTCGAATCTTTCTGGGGCGAATCTTACGGAGGCGAATAGTCCGGGGGCTAATTTTCAGGGGCGAATTTACCGAGGCGAATTTTCGGGGGCGAATCATCCTACAATTCTTTTAATTCATCACGACCTGAATATCTTCCAAATTTCTTTTGGTTCCTTCTACATATCTGCATGCCATACCTCGTAGTGTACTGATACATTTTTTCCCGCAGGCCTTTGAAATCCTTTCAATTCTTCCTTGTATTTTCCACTCATCTTGAATTTGATACGTATGTTCCTTTCTGTTAAGTTTCTCTTGACTACTCTTTGAATTCCGCCTAAAATACCGTGAACTCACTCCCCTTTAATTATTTTGAATACTCTCGAACCTCAAACCGAAATTCTTTTGTATCTAAACTGCTGCTGGCTTTACCCAATCCTTCAAAAGTTTTCTTCAAAATTTCTATTCTTTTTAAACGTCCTTTTGATTGTTTAATTCATATTTAATCACTGATTTTTCCTGGGCATATTTTGTAATCACCTTCACTACCCCTTTAATTTTTTCCGACTGTCTCCTGATTCCCACTCCTATTTATTTTTCCTCTACTCACCTAATTTCTTCAAAATTAGTGCCGAATTTACATTGACTACTGAAATTCCTCTTGAATTGAGCCAGCTAAATATTTTAATTATCCTTTAGTTCCTTTCCTATTCTAAGGGAACGCATTCTGAAATCCTTTTTCCTTTTGAATTTCACATCAACGTTCAGCGAATATTTAACGCACCCTGTTCGAGTACAACCCTTTCAAACTTTTTCAATTCTTATTGAATTTTCCTTCAAATCATCTTAAAATTCTTCCACACTTTCCCCTAAATTCTTCTAGAAATGACAATAAAAAAATTGTAAACGAGTTTCTCGGTTTCATCACGGTTTTTTCCGAATTTGTAACTGGGTATTTACATAATTCGTTTTTCTATGGCTTGTTTTTATGTGGTACTGTGAGAAGCGTTCGAGTCATTTAATTTTTTGAAAATGTTATAATTAAAATCCAAAAATGATTAAGTCAAATTAAGTTCCTCTGTAAGCGAGACGACGTTTGCGATTGATCCGATTTAAACCGCCCCACATACAGAAATTCCCAACCTAATTCTTGATTGTTACGCACACAAGCGCTACCAAATAAACACCGAGATTGCTGTTTACAAATCATTTGCACAAATCCAAAATAACATGCAAATTATACGCTGTCGACATGAATTCGGTAAACAAAGTAATTCTTTTCAATGGTAATTAGTACGTGTTTCTATTTCAGCTGCCCGTAACGCTATGCACGTTAGGGGTTGGTGCCACTTTTGGAGAATCGATCCTTCAGGACCTTCCGAGGGACAGCACGGTCGTAACGCAAACAACATGCGAGCTTCTTCGGGTCGAACAACAAGATTTCAGGCTGATATGGGAGGTAAGTACATCGCATTTCCATTTTCAGGAAATTATTGCGCTGGAAACGGCAGCAATCGCGGTAATCTTATCAGATAAACGTGACCGTCTTTATAAAGGTGTTCATCTATATCACTATCTAGTATAAATATAGATCACCTTTATGAACCAATTAACGTCAGTGTTTACGTTTAATTTAGAGTAATGCCAACGAATTGTTCTATTTTTGTTTGTTCTTCCGTTTTAACGTTTATAAAATGTGGATCTTTTGTGGTTTGCAGAAAAACAAGGAATTGATGAACGACCTCGTTGCCAACTGTAAATTAAAGAATGGTAAGTATTTTATAGTTACAGTCACAGGTTCAACAAAAAAAAAGCGAACGTTATTAATCTCTTCCTTGTCCAAAATTTATTACTGCGAGAGATTCCGGAACTTTCCTCGTGAAATGTAATTTTTTGTCAAAATTTCAATTTACTATGAAATATGTTCTGACAACGTTTTTTCGCTTATCGTTGGAAGTATTTGGCAATAAAAATTGTTTGTTTTGTACGGGAACATCAATCAATAGGGAAGGGTTTTTCTGATAAGATACTAAAAGTGAAAGTTTCCCAATTGAAGGGGCGGATTAGTATTATAATAAAACTAGCAGTAGTGCGTTGGTACGTGTTTATCGAAATGTTCTGTGTACACAATGCACAATGGGGTGGTAAGTTTTTCAAAATGGGGGAAAATATCTCCTTACCCTCAATTTCAAGCTACAGGCTACAGGCCAATGGTTAGCCTCGTATTGGCTCTTGAATCTCTAAAATAGGGAATTATACAAAAGTGCTGATGTGAATTTTCACCCCCGTCCCACTGGAAAATTAACGTTCGGAAATGCCCGGGCATGAAAGTAAAACTCACTCAGAATAATTGCCATAGATATTTTAGAAACTAAAAAACGTATCTGATATTTACATCCTTTTTCCAGGTATACAGGGTGGCCATTTGAAAACGATGCATTTTCGATTGCAATGTTATAAATTCCCAGCCAAGCTTGCAAACTATTTTAGGAGCTAATTTTGAAGCAAACTTACAAATCACTTTAATTAAGTTCATCAAAAGGCCCGTTTTTACTTTGGGCCGTTTTTCAATTTGATCATTCCACAGAAACTACAAGATTACCTACTGTAAGGGAGGAAGGAAAGTGAACAATTTGAGACGCCGTAGTCACCGCTCAGAATTATTCCGTAATCACTGAATTGTAGTAAATTTTATATGGAATTTTTCCATTTTCAAGCAACTTTCTCTCATTGGTACTACGTGATTAATTGTTCGTCAACGTTGCTTGAGAATAGGAAAGTTTATTGTTTATTGAGCAATCTCCGTCATTCACAAACATTAACAAAGCTCTTTCGTGGAGGAGGTATATTTTACACATGAAAACGGCGAAAGCTCCGAAGTATAGATTTTTCAATGTATCTCGCGCCATCTGCTTTGGAAGTATTAAATTACGTACGAACTGCTGTAGGCATCCATCCTCTCATTTATATTGAATTTAAAATACATTCTCTTCGCCTGTCCTCTAATAGAGATACCAATGATGGGTTTTAAAGTAGGAAGCGCTGGTTACACTTGTAGTAGTTGCAATAGAAACTAAGCATAGTAATAATAATTGGAGCGCTCGAAGAGAATGTGTAGCAAATTTCTTTATTTTCAATTATCAAGAGAGAATCATAAAATTTATAGATCGGCCTTAGATATTGTAACTTTATTCTTCGATAGGAAGAATCGCTGGTTTGCAAAAACTTCTTATAATAAACGAAATATATTTGAACATTACTCTAAATGGATAATAATGACATAGTCGGAGAATTAGATAGACATAAAATGCCATTGAGACCTTTGACAATGCTTTTATTTATAATTGGAATTGCATCTAAACTTCCTACTTTGCTTTAAACAGATTTTACAGATCTGTATTTTATTTGCGGTTTCTAACCTTTTTGAAAGGAAAATGCTAAGAATCTTGGACAAGATTTCCCTTGCGCAACAGGCAAGTGTTAGTACTAGCTGCATGAAAGGATTATTTGCTAAATTCGAGTTTTCGAGTTTTAATAAAACTTTAGTTTGTTTAGAAATTTTGTAACTGTTTGTAGCAACATCCTCTAGTATTTCACATCTAGAAGAGAGAAATGATAATGGTTATTGTACGCTGCCGGCTGCTGTACCTTAAACTTACTGTAGGCAGTTGACTTCAACTTTGTATTTGATCATGTATGCTAAAACTGCAGCTTTAAATTTTTAATCTGTTATGTTACAATTGTCTACAGCTCTGCAATTTACGAAGTTCAGAAGCTGATTCTTTATAGATTTTATTACATTCGAAAATTGATTGCAGATGGGAAAAGATGATCAATATGTTAGATATTGATATATTTCTAAAGCACTTTTATTACTGCTTGTAGGGGACAAGTTGTTAGTAAGCTATTTCGCAACACCTTTCAATGCATTCTGAAGATAATAACATTTTTCCACATCAGATAATTTTGAATTTTTATCTATGAGTGCCATAAATGTCTCGTGAAAACTGCACCACTCTGCATAATGTCCCGAAAAATTGGGAATGTTTAAAATTAGCAACTTTACATTGTTTTCTTCTGAAGAGCATGCGGATTTAGGGAAGTATCAGATATACGTACTTGTTTTTAACGTACTATTGCGTTTAGAAAGATTAGTAGCTAAGTCACAATACGTTCATCAAATTCTTCGCATGATAAAATGCCATCCCTGGTTAAATGTTCAGAATCTACTTTGAAATATGTATCTGTATACTCACTAACCGATGATTTTATTTGCCCTAATTGAGCCTGTAAAGGCTAATTCACTGAAATTTGTTAGATCGATTGCATTAAATGAAATCTCCGAAACGGTGCAGCTCGGTTACCAATAACTGGAGCCTTGCAATGAATTGTTTAGTGCCTTTTGATTTCGGCATAATGAAGCACCGGGCTGAAGTTACATTCGTTTTTTTTTTAACAAACGGCTTTCGAAAGTGATGGCACCTGGGACCTATTTTCATCCTCTTTTTGGAAAAGAGCCCTAAAACTCGACAAATTCGCCCCCGAAGTTGGCAAATTACGCAGACCTTACAATATTATATAAAGCATAGGGAAATAACGCTGTATTATTGGTTGACCAGCTTTTAACAATTGCAACCAACACTGAAACTATGTACAAAGGTTAAATTCTTAAGTGCCATTAGTGGACAAAGGTAATCAATTAGTTGAACGCAATAACTAATCCTAACTGGCATTTGAATATCTAGAGATAATTGTGAAACGGTATGCTCTTTACAATGAATTAAATTAATTTATAAAATTAGTATATGAAATTTGAACAAACAGGTAGAAAAGATCCTTACCCATAAAACCAGGTCCGTAAGTAGAGAGCTCTTGCTTTTCCTGTTTATGTAATCACTTTTGGAGAAGGTATTAAAACTTAAATGCTTTCGCTTTTGGTCTGTTTTAAATGTCCAATATACAAAAGAAAATCATGATTGGATTTTCTGGTGTGATTGCAAGCGCAATACAAAAATGTAATAGTCGGCAAAGGTATTTTTCAAATATTTTTCAGAAAGAATACGAAATATTTAATCATTTATTATTAAACTCTCAGTAATAAACATTGTATGGTCATTCTGTGAATGTATGGCTATTTCGTACAGTATGCGAAGTGGACGACCTTCCTTCGGTCCTCTTCACCCTGGTCATGGCACACCTAAACCATACGGACACTTGCTGTTTATACTCATTCGCCGTTAAGTTTGGGTAAAATTTTCTACCCATATCTGCAGAAAGTGAATTACGTTAAGTTTCTTGGTCGAAATGACTTACGCTGGATAAACGCTATTAACTGCGTGTCGGATATCTTCGTGGACTCGCGTACCCCACTCCACGAGCAAACAGTCGCCAACCTATCCGTGAATGTTGCCTGTAGGCATTTCCTAATGAAGTATTCCATTCTATTCGATCGATGAAAGCTGAGCTTTCGCAGCTACAATTAGGTATTCTTAGGTAGTCGACTTACCCAACACTTACCAGAGCTTGTCGCGTTCCCTCTTCATTCATTAAAATCTCCATATTCTCCAGGTCGTCTATGGTCTCCATCGGTAGCTTAAGTGATTCTTCCAAGTCCATGGAGAGACTGGGGTCTATTCCAATTTTCGATTCGATCCTGTCCAATCTGCTGTGTAAATTGGAGAAACTCTGCTCGACTTTCGCTTTGAAAACCGAAAGCTCGTCCAAAATTGTTTTTGTCGCACTTCTAACTACGTTCTCTAGTAGTTGGGGGTTGAGAAAAATGTCGGTTATTATGTCGCCACTATTCTGTTCCACGTTTGAGCCTACAGATGCTTTTTATAAAAGTGTCTTTGCACATTGGGCTTACTTGTTGTAAATTTCTCCCGGTCTGCATCTTCTGCTATGGAGGAAGGACTACGTTTAATAGTTGTATCCCTTTTTTGCGGTTTGTGCCGCTTTCGTTCGGGTGTGGCTATATCTTCTTCTACTCGGTCTATACTTCTCTTGGCGCTCTCGTACGACTCTAACCAAAACCTTTATGGATTGCCTTATTAAGGAATACTTACGGAAATATTGTATTATCTCCACGTATACTTGAACCCAAGTCTCATGGCAAGGCTCGACCTCTGACTTGACGAAGTTGCTGTCCGCTCCAGATTTAGGCCACCAGCACGCATCCGTGGATGGAATCAACCACTTTGTCGGTACAACTTCAAGAGAATCCTCTTCATCTTCAATATTTACAACGCAAAATCTCTGAAACAGGAAATTTGTAGACTAATGAATGAAATTAACAACGTTTCTCTGTGGATAGTACAGATAAAAGGATCTTTATTTATTACAACATAAAAAATGTTTTGATTTTACATTTCAATAACGTTACCTTTACATTACAACGGAACGTGCATAGTTCATCTCAAGGTTAGGCAAACCAGTTTAACTAACAGGAAAGGAATGTTTATTTATATCCGTTGCTAAATAAACTTTATACTAAAAACACCGCTCCTGACATTGTGCGTGTTAGATTTCTAAACTAAAACCACAAAACCGTTATTTACGTATGAATTCATTTGCCAGACGAGCTTATTAGAATGAAACGGATGTAGGAACATCGAATTTTAGACGACGTAACATGCCGAAGCTGAAGCTGAATCCTTCTCTCTTATTGGTCAGCACGTTTAACACACTGATACTAATGTCGATGAACCCCGATGAGGTATTTTGTAAGGGAAACAATTTTAGAACGTTTACGGGTAACATTATCTTCCGGTAACGTTTGATTTATTACATTTATTAATGTTATATAAACGTTCCATAAATACGTTTCGGAGAGATTTCGCGTGATGTGTATACGAATGCTTACGTACTAACAAATGGAAGGGGAATTACGTTGATCAATACCTGGTTTCGTGGCTTCATTCGATACAGGCAGTCTTTAGCCAAGTGCTCTGCAAGTACTACGCAATTTCCACATTATGCACAAGGTGCGTTTCTCGAAATTGTTTTACTAAAATTAAAGAAATTCAAACGATATTTCGATGCCACTCAATTATCCCATCATATTTGGTTTTGCAATGACCCCCTCGGGAGTAAATTTTGAAACAAATGTGATAGTATCATTTTCCAGACGTTTCTTTCCAGAATGGAACTAGTAAACGTTTCGCCTGGTTTAAAATGGCAGTATCTACATTCAATCCATACTAAAAAATCGAAAATGGCCAAGTAGATTTACTTAGTAGTCCAGTCAATTTACGGTTTGGGCTGGATGTTGTCATTTCACTTAATGAAATCAATAAATAAAAAAATCCTCTGAATTTGAAAATCATAGTCCCCCTGGCCGGAAACTTCCGGAACATATTGTTATAAACAATAATCGAAGAACGATTGTTTTCCTGAAAATTTTGCCTGATTGGCCAAGGTTCACGGAAAAACGTACCTAATAGTCATTTGGTATTACGGTCCCTGGGCCTAGTTATCGTAGATCAACGAATTAATTACAAACAAAGCGCATTTCAGATCAGTATTTTACTAGCAAAGTTTAAAATTATCGATCTAAAGGGTAATCTAACTCAAAATAGACTAGAGCCCCCACATCTACACCATAGCAGAAAGCTTTTAGTGAATTTGAAGTCTCTAGCTATTGTAATTGCTGAGATCGCAGCCAGACAGCCAGCCATAACAAATATAAAATCGTTTTTTTTTTTCAAAAATGCACTAAAAATTGGTAATATGCAATGTTTTTGAAAATTTTTTGTAACATTTTCCGATATGTCATAATTACATACATCGAGGTTTGAAGTAACAAGATAAGCATAGCCGATGAAGCATTCACTATTCCTTCTCTACTTTAGTGCTGCTTCTAATAACTGACAAATATTTAAACCGCAACTTTTAAGTGTCACAAATCCATACAAATTTGTGTCTTTATGTGATACTCATTTATTCAAATGTTGTACCATTCCATGTGCAACTTACGTGTTGAAACATTAGAATGTGTGAATGTTTAGAATTCTCGAAAGTATTCGATGTATTTTTTAATGTAAATATGTGAAGAAATTCAGTGGTCCTCAAGATTTTACAATATTATTTTCAAATCTTCTCGGAACGTTTCCTACCTACAGTATTTCTGGAATTTTCTTTTAAAATCTTTTTAGAATCTCCACTGAAGCTTTAAAACCGTCAAATCTCCAGGATATTCACATCATTTTTCGTCTTGCAATCTTAGAACTTTTCTGGAACCACTAAAAAAACACTGTAATTAGATGTAAAATGTAAAATCGATTTCTCGTGAACTTTTAATCGGATTTGGACGTATTTTCTTATAAATGTACCGTCTTTCCGAGAGCTTTCCATTCGCCTATTATTAGTCCGAGAAATAGAGACCGAAAATGGACCATTTTCTGCAAAACGGGAAGTAGTTCCAATTTTGTTTGAATGTCATGAAGGAATATCTGGTGGTTAAGAATCCGAGTTTCCAACCTCAGACCCCTAAAACCAAAGACATTTGGTTGGTTTTTTAGTTTTTAAATCATATCTTTTTATAGGTTCACTTTACAAAAAAAGTATTGTTATTTAAATTGTACAGACCATCAAATTTTACATAAATTTATTATATACTTCTTTTTCGTAAATTTCGTTTATTTCAAAAGATACAAAGCTTTAAAGTTGTCATAAGATTCATATAAGAAAATACCTCGATTATAATTTCCGTACCATGCATCCCTATCAAAAGGGATGACAGCACTTCAACCACTTGGTCGTAGTAGGTATTTGAATCACTGTGTGATTATGCCGCTTTCGAATACAATTATCAAATAATAAAAGTTGTCTTACTTCATTTTAACTCCTTCCATCCCCTACAAAAAGGGATGATTACATCGACCCCCTATAGTAGTGATTGTTCAACTATCTTCTTAAGTATAACTGTCGAATGAATCAGCGTAGAATACTCGGGTTTGAAACATTACTTAGTTTTGTGTCACAATTCTTTGCATGTAGATTATATATTTCAAATTGAGGCATAAAATGAGTTTGTGAATAAAACCTCGATCCGTCGCACAAAAACCTCGACGCATTGAGTACTTTCCAACTTGTTTATTTGAAATTTGTATGCGGAAATTATCTAGATGTGATTGAACAATCAACATCAAAGGATTAAACCATTCATTTCAGTAGGGGGTGACAAGGATTAAACTGGAACGAGAGGATTAGAAAATATAAGTAATAAGGGTTCTACTCTCTGCTCATTTATCAATCGCCACAAAGGGGTTGAAATATTCATTCCATCCGCTTTCCGGGGTGAGGGGGAAATGAAGCTGATCTGAAGTAAGACAATTTTATGAAACGTATATTAGAAACCGCTAAAATCTCACAGGGATTCAAATATCCCCACTAGCAAGGGTTGAAAGTTGAATTGTTATACATCCCCTTTGGTACGGGAGCAGGGTACCACGGTAAGCTCAAGATATTTTCGCATAAAACTCTTAATTATAGAGATAAAGTATAAAATTTGGTTAAAACATCTTTCTAAAGGGAACCAATAAAAAGTTATGATTGAAAAACTAAGAAACCAACCAAATTTCAGGCGTTTTGGGGGTGGTATGGGGGAAACACCACCAGATGACTGTTTATGACATGCAAAAGAAATATGGAACTATTTCTCATTTTGCAAGTTAAAACCCTCTATTCCCTGAACTATAAGTATATAGGGTTACATTTCTTGCTATGTTTCGGAAATTATTCTAGCTAAGAAAATTCTTGGGATTTTGAAAAAAATCCAGTCTGTCGATGTACAAGAACCACCGGGCCAATTTTGTAAAGAATTGTTTTAGGGTTCTATAAAAAAATTAAGAACGCGCTGGGAGTCACCCATTTTGAAAGACACAGCCTCGTTTTTTTTAAATTTGTTTATTTAATTATGCAATAACTATAAAATCTACGGCGATCGGGTTTGTCATGTTATTTTTTTATTAAAAGAATTTATCAAATACATGATCGGATAAATTTTACTTAGTAATAACCAATTGTTGTTAAACTTAGGGATTGCTATTTTATATTTTTTCATAAAAAAACAATAACATTTATAAATGAACACCCGGAACCAACTGTATCTTATGGAAAATTCGATTCTAAACAAATTCATTTATTTTCATTTTTTCCCTCACAGCAATAGTTAACCATTGAAGTCAAATGCGAAAAACGGCATTTTCCCATTTTGTCCACGGGGTTTCCGGCCAGGGGGACTATGATTTCCGGTTTCGGAGGATTTTTTACATAGAATACACTTGGTCCCGTTGAGTGAAGTGACAGCATCCAATTTAGACTACTTTTGGAGCTAATATGACTGACTATAGTACCATAGTGATAATTCATCGCCTTTTTCAACCCCGTTTGTGCGTTTAAGGTCTCCAAAACATCATTTTTCCCCCTCTTTGTCTTTGTCTGCTGGGGGGTCTTCTATATCCCCCAGACCCCCCGCTACTACTTTTTTGGGAAAGTACAGTCGTATCCTTTTTCCCTGAACAGTATTCCATACTGTCACAGCATCGTGGTGCTAAGCATGTTGGCATTTTTTTAAAAAATGTCACATATGCACTAACACTAAACGAGCGAATCACCGGGGGGTCTGAGGGGTATGGAATATCCCCCAGCCAGCAGAGAGTGCCTTAACAAAGAGGAGCTCGATAATTCTTTATATTTTACTCCTATCACTTGTATGGTAATCTTTGGAAAAAGGTAATCGCGCCTTCATCTGAGATTTTTTAATGCTTTAATTTCAAAAATCGATGGGGTGGTTGTCGAAAATCTTGTTTTGAAATTGTTTATTACTCCTATCACTTGTATGGTAATCTTTGGAAAAAGGTAATCGCGCCTTCATCTGAGATTTTTTAATGCAATTTCAAAAATAAAAATCTTGTTTTGAAATTGTTTATTAATAGTGCAAAAATAAAAAATAATTGCAAATACAAATGTATAAGATTACGAAACATTTGAAACGCAAAGTTTGTGAAACATTATTTTTTTACATTACAAATCTACGCATCAAAACTAGGTTAAATCATTTACATTACTACTCCCCGTCTTTCTCTATCGCCTGTATACACAGAAAATAGAAATAAACCTTATCCTAGCTTTACCTTTTGTTTTTTTTTATACATAATTGGCGACCTGTATTAAAAAAAAATTATAATTCCAAATAAGTGTTTAAAACGAACTAGTTACATAAAAGAGAAATTTTTCCATTGTAATCAAGGTTTGAAATTAGCACGTAATTGTGAAAAACGAATATTCCCTGTAAATCCAGGAAATCTTTAGCGCATTTTTGAAAAAAATACGCTATTCTATTCGCTACGGCTGTCTGGCCGGCTGTCCGGGTGAGATCTCAGCAACTACAATAGCTAGACTTCACATTTTCGCTAAAAGCTTTCTTCTCTATAGTGTAGATGTGCATGCTCTAGTCTATTTTGAGTTACGATTACTCATGAGATACATAATTTTAAACTTCGCTAATAAAATACTGTTCGGTATTACCAAAAATGCTCTTTCATCATGCATACGCTGATTTACAACTTGTTTAACGAAATATTCAATACCGAATAATCAGGAATATATTATTGGTATATTTTCAGTCTATTCAATGCTGAATATCCTTGGAATATGCCAGACGAACATATCTATTCAAAGAATATTCTATGGGTATTTGGAATATTCGCATACCTTCCAGCGTGTAGAAAGAATATTCTAAAAATATCCAATTTTATCCGGTGTTAAAGGGGATTTGCCACACGATTGACCAAATGGAACTAAACTTTTCAGATATCGATTGAAAAACGAATTTTTGAACTAAATTTTGTTCTGTAGAATGGACACGGAATTAAATTTGTAACGGTTTGACAACTACATCAAAAGTTATAACAAAAAAATTAAAAAAACGATTTTAAAATGGTCTCCATAAACGATAAAGTAGGGAATCAAATTTCTCAGTTCTTCCATACTCTTAAATTACTTCAGTTTCCTCGAAATCTTTCAGATTCGTTTGATTTTTTAAATTATTCCAAAATTCATCCAAAAAAATACGTTTTTAGTCAAACGAACGCAGAAAGTCTTGTTTCAGCTCGATGTTCAAATATCGTCTTCAACTTTTAGAGCTCCCGTCAAATTCTTCAAATTTCAGTTCTATTTTCGTCAAATTATTTTCACGTTTTCTTTTTCAATTCATATCAATCTCATTCAAATTTCCCTTCAGGTTTCGATAAAATCCTTCTTAAGCTCCTTTCAAGTTTGTTAAACATTCCTAAAGTTTTTCTGTAGTTCTCCTCAAATGCTTTGAACGTTTCTGTTAATTTTTTCTTGTGTATCACAGTTCCTTTCTATTTCTTCTCAAGGTTTCTAACACATTCTCCCTAAAATACATTGTTCTTTTCAACATCCTAACTCCCTCCTTAATTTTTCCCAAAGTTGCCTGGCATGTTATAAGAAAATTAATTCTGGTTCCACTCAAATTCAATCTACAGCATAAGAGCTAATAGAAGAATTAGTCTTTCGCAATATTTCACTGCGGGTAAAAATTGATAGAAACGGTACAAGAGCTCTTGCAGAGACTCTTTGTCGTCGGTTTCAAGAGGAGAAATAAGTGGCATTGAATGTTGGTGTACTTTCCCTGGCAGTATTCAGCATTGCTTCATGTCTGGTGTACCTATAGTGTTTCAGGCTCCCAGTACCGGTTTCATAATTTTCAATCTCCTAGAAGCATCGGAACTCTTGTGACCGTTAAGGAAACAAAAACACTAGGAAGCCATAATAAAGCTGCAAAATGTTGTAGTCTTTCTAAATTCTAAACCATAAAATAGAAACGATACATTTCCATTGCCGCTTCGGACCCTCACGATCAACGATTTCCTGGTGTGCATGGACACTCGGAAACTTAAATTTAACAATGAAAATTATAAAACAATTTCGTACTGAGTTGATTCTGTATTTATAACGTAATGAAATTGTACACGAATCGTTCTTTCCAAAAAAATACGTGAAATTAACGTTCTCCCACAATATATTCTCTCGGGGCGTACGTAAAACCTGTGCAATTTTAATATGCTCCAGAACAGAGTCTGTCTGAAAGCATCGACTGTTCGCAGAGCTAGTCGTGGGCGGATTTCTAATAATAAAGGATATCGTTTCCAATTTTGTAATTCGAATGGCCATTTAATTCGCGAACGACCTTTTCACTTTGGGTTGGAAATTTAGGTCGGTAGGTCACTGATCAATTTTTCTACCTGTTACGCGTTCGTATAGTAAGCGTGATTATTGACCTCTCCATTTGACAAGGGGGTGTATGAAGCATGACTAATATTTTGAACCCTGACCGATGATGATACACAGAAAACCACCCTTGCGACTGAGATTAAATGCGTCATAGGATATTTTTATTCCTAACCGGTGTATTCAGTCAGTAGGTATGAAGCTTTTGTTTGGATATAACGTGGAGAATCCGGCGTAGGAAATGTATTTGTTTTGCTACACCTGATGTTTGTGCGCTGTTTTTTCCGTGTAATTTCTGAGCGTTTGTGCTTCTAGGTTTTGGGCCCGGTGTTAATAGTAAATCACCGATGCATCGTCCTAAATCACCGCCGACACGAAGATCGTTGTCGCCGGACCAGCCAAATCCTGCCGAACCGATTACGGACGCGCCCAGCACCGTTATGGGTCGAATTGGATGGACTCTAAGAACGCTCTTGTTGAGTGAGTATCGTGCAGGTGCCATTGCGCTTTGGTGACGTTGCGAATTTCAGGCCAGAACACCTGCCTAAAGGATCGGAAGGTGTCTGGGAAATTGGTACGGAAGTGTGCTCCTGGTACGGAATTGGTGGACTGGATCTTATCTTTGTCGCCTATAATTCACACGCGAGCGCAGGGCGCCGGCATGTGGCAGGCTCTGTTGGAGGAGGGTGTGATTTCGCACGGTAAGATTCAATCTAGTCAACTTTTAATAATTCGCGCTGTAACAGTCGCAAAGGAACAGGGCTTCAAGGATAAATGCTTCTTGTATCGGTTTTGGCAAGATGAAGAGGGTGCGGGTGCGCTTCCAACAATGGAAGACATAAACACCGCCGAAGAGCAAATACACGAATCTCTCTCGACGCTGATACAGCGCGGTCCAGATGCAGTGCTTCGAATGATTTTAAGAAAACCGTAAGTCATTGAAAAACTGATTGAGAATCTTAGCGATTGATGCCATTTCAGAAGCCACGAAAGATCTAGCGACGATTTAGAAACGATTTACGAGGAACTACTCCACATTAGAGCACTGTCGCACCTATCCAATTCGATTAAGCGAGAATTAGCTTCGGCTGTCGTGTTCGAAGCGCACCCAAAGGCGGGGTCCGTCCGTAAGTGTGCGCGTTTCCGGGAATGAAACCGATACTAAATATTTATTCGGTAGTATTTCACCAGGGGGATGAAGGACGGTCGTGGTACATTATTCTGCGAGGCTCCGTCGATGTAGTTATCCACGGAAAAGGGACGGTCACCACGCTTCAGGAGGGCGACGACTTCGGCAAGCTGGCTCTTATCAACGACGCGCCGAGGTAAAACAGTTTGGGGGGGGGCATTTTTTGCGCCTTCACTTTCAGTTTTAGGGCCGCCACCATCGTACTGCGCGAAAATAATTGCCATTTTCTTCGTGTTGACAAAGACAACTTCAATCGGACGCTTCGTGACGTTGAAGCGAATACGGTGAGGCTCAAGGAGCACGGAAAGGACGTGTTGATTTTAGAGAAAATTTCCACTCAACAAAAGCAGAGCTTTTCGCATTTTAAGTACGTATACCTACCGCCGCAAGATTGGGGGTCAGTTTCATTTTTAGATACACTGTAATGGCGGGAACTCCGCAAAAAATGCTGGAGCACCTTCTCGAAACTCGCTTGGACGGTCGAGGAAATTTCGGAGGGGGCGATAATTTCATTATGACGACCGCCCACGATCCTTTCCTAGACGATTTTCTTCTGACGCACGTCGTCTTTATGCCAACTCATCACTTAGTAGACGAATTAGCTAATCAATATCCTTTTTATACTTCTTTGCCGGTTATCTGATCGTTATTTCTTTAACCCTTTGCACTTATAGGCTAGACTCCCCCAGTCAGGATCGGGAATTCCTACTGGCGTGCAAGAGTCGAGTGGTTCAATTCGTTTACAAATGGGTCACGACAATTCGGCAGCCTGTATTCGATGACGAATCGGCTGTTGAGTTTTTGGAAGACCTTGCAAGCGAAGTTGAGAATGATTGCATTCAACTGGATGCGTTACAGGAGGAGGCGTCTCTGATGCACCACGCCATGACACAATTCAGAAGGTAGAAGTTTCCCAAAATCATCCCCTCTCACATTGTGGTGCTTTCAGGTATCAAGAAGATCGAAAAGCGAATTCGGGCCAAAAATGGAAATTGCCACCTTGTGGTCAACCTATCGGTTTATTTAGCGGAAATAAGGACTCGAGAACGATAATAATGCCACAAGACGACAGTAAGTTCCCACTCCACCATTCGCACTTACACCTTTTTGCAGTAATTTTCAGGGTGTACTGCGCGGACCATACCTACTGCACGTTGCGCTTACCGGTCGATTCGACCGCCGAGACGATTAAATTATGCGCCGCAGATAAACTGAAATTGAGACCAAACGACGAACTACTGCTGGTGGAGGTGAAATCTAACGGCGAAAGGGTCACTTTCAAAGACAACGATATCAGCATACCAACTGCGCTTAGTTTAAACGGAAGGATATTCGTATCTCCCAAGGACCATTTAGATGCATTGGTAGCTATCACTACTTTATTGGTCGGTTGTGCTGTACAAAGTGTTTTAGACTTGTTTATCTGAACAAGAAGAGTCCACGCAAGGAATTGATGGAGATTTAGAATTATTTAGTACTAAAGAGCTAGCTTATTATATGACCCTTTTCGATTGGGATCTTTTTTGGTAAGATAATCGCTTTTTCTTGTGTTCCGTTCTATTTATAACGCTCAGGGATTACTAAAATGATCGTTGTCCTCCACTTTTTTTAATACTGGAGGATGTAATCTTTGAGGTGCATTGGTTTTGGCGACGCCCGATAGGTATGGAATACCCCCCCCCCCCCGCGAAGGAAGGCCTCTTATTTTTAACAGAGGACGAGAGAGAAAATAATGCCAAGGTATCTGGTAGATACGGAATACACAGCGGGAAAGATCTTATACTTTTAAAAGAACACCATCGAATTCCTGAGGGGTATTCCATACCCCCCAGAGTTCCCGGTACTACTATATTTCAAAAACACGTTGGACATTCTCATAATCATGCGGGTATTGAGTACGTTTTGGATATAAATAATACCCCCCAGCGAAGGTAAGCATCTTATTTTTAAGAGAGGATGAGAGAGAAAATAATGCCAAGGCATCTGGTTTAGACTTCTCAATCAAAAGTTATAGACTAGAAACCAATTTCGAAAGAAAATTCAAAGGGCTGCAACTTTTGAACTAGTTGCTCAATCTTGGAACTGTTTGAAATTATGGATTCTACAGGCCACATTCAATAAGAAATTTTTTTTCCGGTTCGATCTGAGACAATTTTTTTTTTCGGGCCTCAAAAAAAAAAAAAAAACCTTCCTTTTTTACCAAAAATCGACTACACCAAAATTTCTCGGGAAAACACTTTTTCTTATTAATTTTGGGGCGTAGAATCTAAACCAATTCGTACTTTTTCGATTAGACTTCTCAATCAAAAGTTATAAAGAAACTAAAGAAAATTCAAAGGGCTGTAACTTTTGAACTAGTAGCCCAATCTTGGAACTGTTTGAAATTATGGATTCTACAGGCCACATTCTATAAGAAAATGTTTTTTCCGCGATCTGAGACAATTTTTTTTTCGGGCCTCAAAAAAAGGCTTCCTTTTTTACCAAAAATCGACTACACCAAAATTTCTCGGGAAAACACTTTTTCTTGTTAATTTTGCGTAGAATCCAAAACAATTCGTACTGGAACTGTTTGAAATTAAAGAAAATGGGCTGTATTTTGAACTAGTAGCCCAATCTTGGAACCACATTCTATAAGAAAATGTTTTTTCCGGGTTGATCTGAGACAATTTTTTTTTCGGGCCTCAAAAAAAGGCTTCCTTTTTTACCAAAAATCGACTACACCATAATTTCTCGGGAAAACACTTTTTCTTATTAATTTTGGGGCGTAGAATCCAAAACAATTCGTACTTTTTCGATTAGACTGGTAGGTACGGAATACTCTGCGGGAAAGATCTTATATTTTTAAAAGAACCCAATCGATTTCCTGAGGGGTATTCCATACCCTCCACACCCCCCGTACTATATTTTTAAAAACACGTCGGACATTCTCATAATCATGGGGGTATTGAGTGCTCTAAACGTTTTGGATAGAAATGTAGTACCAGGGGGTCTGGGGGGTAAGGAATGCCCCCCAGCGAAGGAAGGCATCTTATTTTTAAGAGAGAACGAGAGAGAAAATAGGTCAAGGTATCTGGTAGATACGGAATAGGTACTCTGCGGGAAAGATCTTATATTTTTAAAAGAACCCCATCGAATGACTGGGGGGAATATCCTCCCCCCCCCCCCCCCCAGAAGTACATTTTTTAACAACACGTTGGGTATTATCATGATCATGGGGGTGTTAAGGGCTTTAAACATTTTAGATGGAAAAGTAGCACCCAGCCAGATAAGGCCTCTTACTAAAAAATAGTACCAATAAGGTATCTGGTGGGTACGGAACACTGCAGGACAGCTCTCATATTTTTAAAAGAACCCCATCGAATTCCTGAGTGGTATTTCATACCCCCCAGACCCCCGGTACTACATTTTCAAAAACACGTTGGACATTCTCATAATCATGGGCAGCGCTGTATTGGAGGGTATACGCGGGTATACGTCGTATACGTTTAAAATGGGTTTTTCTTTTGCGTATACGGAAATAATAATTTGCTAAATACGCAAATATACGGTCGTATACGTATAACTTTAAAAGATTGCTAAAAATCTTGGACTGATATGGGGTTTTATTCTTTACGTCGATTACTTAAGAACGTGTTTTTAGTGTTATATGGTAACTTCTAGGGGGTATCCAGTTTTGAGAATCCTATCAAAGCTGAAAGAGATCTCAGGTAGTTTGTAGCACCCCACTAGTCAGTATAACACCTTTGTGGCCCAATCTACAGACTGCAAACCTGTTTTGTAAAAATTTACAAAAATTGAAAATGTTTAAACCCCTCACCGCCCCCCAACTTCCACGTTTGGGACAAGGACCAGGACGTAACAGACAAAAGCTTGGAGACAAAGGGGTCGAACCTTTTCCACTATTAAGTTTAATTTTAATAATTGGCTCGCGTCAGTCCGTCCATCGAAAAAACACCCTGGCGACCATGAAAAACTACCCCTGAAAAATGACGATATCAAATTCCCAAACAAAAAGTACTTGCCTATTCCTATTTGTAGGTACTTTGAGTCTACTGATTGATGAATCTCACTTAAAGTTAAAAACTATCAATCCTGTTTTTGATTTGTGAAAAAAAAACATCAAAACATGAAATTTTGTAGGTAAATAACTTGAATTGGGTAGGGCGCTCCAAAAAAGCATGAAATATAAGAAATTTCAAGCTGTAAGGAAAATTTTGGATTAAAACTGACTTTGCTTAGGCTACAATCTGAAGTCACATTTGTTGCAGGTGTGTTCACGAATATGAACTTTTGTACCACACATTCGGGCGCCACCACTTTGGACAGATCACTGCAAATCTAGACGTTTTCCTTCGTAGATTTAACGAACTGCAATTCTGGGTGGTAACAGAGATTTGCATGACTTCGAGCCTAAGTAAACGCGTAGCTGTTCTCCGAAAGTTCATCAAACTCGCCGCATAGTGAGCACCCCCCTGTCCGTTGGAGATGCGCAGCTTAAATCTGTTTTTCAGTTGCAAGGAGTACCAAAATTTAAACGCCTTCTGCGCGATCGTAATGGGCTTAAGTAACATGGCAATATCCAGGCTCTCGCTAACGTGGGAGAAGCTCCCGTCAAAATTTCGCAAACTTTACACCGAATTCGAATCTCTAATCGATCCAAGTCGTAACCACAGATCGTACAGGGTTAGTGTTAGTAAATTACAGCCGCCAATAGTACCATTCATGCCGTTGCTGTTAAAAGACATGACCTTTACGCACGAAGGCAACAAAACTAGTCTGGACGGTCTGGTGAACTTCGAAAAAATGCACATGCTAGCTCAAACGCTGAGGACAATTAGATTTTGTAGGAGTCGACATTTAGGTGAGTGAGCTATGCCATTTTTCTCTTTGCCAACATAATGGTTTGCAGTGTTGGATCCTCCGTCACCGAAGAGCGAGGGGGAGGTGAAATCCTACATCTCCTGTTTACGTGTGATAGATAATCAACGGATATTAACCGGAATGTCGCAAAAATTGGAACCGAGACGATCTTAGTGTGATAATGAATATTAAAATGTATTATTAGTGACCAATTTTTAATACTTGCTTGTCTAAAATTAGGTAGCACAATAACTTTAAATAAATGTTCGGCTTTTGTCCATTTTCAATATTTATGTCTCAAAAATACCTGAGCAATAACGGACAATTGTTTGTAAATATTTTAGAGGCACCAATCCTTTTGTAGAAGAAAAATTTCTTATACACCAAACACTTTTCTAGTTCATATTGTCTCGAATATCTATTGTGATAATAATATATAGTAACTTCTGCTCTAATTCAGTAAATCTGAGCAATAACGTTGTATATAATTTGCTATAATTAAATCAAACGTTCAGTTCAGTTCAGTTAATAGAAGATTGTATGTACAGTACAAAATTGTAAGTACCGTGTGCACCAAATTTGGAACACACCGTATCTAGAGTTACCAACAACTGGCAGTTTAAATCAAAACCAATTAGCTAAATGTTCCTCTTGCATTACCTGTTGTACAATACACTCTTCGTGTGTGGATTCGGAAGACAATCAGGATTGTTCTGTATTGAAAAATGTAACAAATGTATACTACAGAGCAATCGTATCTTGTAGTAGTCAGTTCTTTATTACATTACTTTATAAATGTACATAACAGTGTCATCTCCTCCTTTTTATAAATTTCATCCCTAAGTCACACAGAATAACAATAGCATAAGTTCTCGCACAATATTTGCATGACAGTTGCCGATTCTTTTCACTTTTCTATCTCTTGAATATCGCAAAATATGTTTATAATTAAAATTTTGTCAACCAATTGACATAAATGTAAGGTAACACTCCAAAACAACTCTTATTAATTCAATTTTTACAACAAAAATTTGATATAATGGCAATATAAATTGAATTAACCAATTTTTACAATAATTATTACTCTCAGCTCTCAAAAGGTTAATTAAGTTTAAGAAGTATGCGTTGTTGAGAATTGTATTTTTAATAGTTATATGTATAAGTCATTTGAATTATATATCGATACATATGCAGTTGTCATTTTATTTGTTGGTAGTGGAAACTGGTTTGAATGAAATTTAGAAACAACCTCTGGTGAAGTCCCCTACAGTGTAAAGGGAACCCGTTAAATGGTATTTCTAGATTTTTGGAGTATGTCGGTGAATTTCTGTGACAATGAAGGGTAGGGGAAGTACCTATTAAATCTTCCAATAAAATCTGCAAGATCTAGAAGAACCTGTTGCCGCTCGTTGTTCTATTTTATCCAATGGTTGGGCTGGAGATTATTACGGGTAGTTAGAACAATGGGAACAGGGGGGGCCCTTTTGAGTTTCGTTGGTTATCTTTTTCACGCTGACAAATTAACCGGGGCATATAAAGAGGGCGAGGGCGGAAAGAGAACAAGATCCAGTGGTGATAAGACTTTCAAATCATAAAGACAAAACAGTTTCGTGGGAACTTTTGCACTATCTAAGATGAGTAAAGTACTATTCTAAGTGGCTTCCATTTCATTACACAGACCTTTGGTAATCGAAAAATGTTCCTTTAGGTACAAGCAAGTTTTGGTTGATTTTCACATTAGCGGTGAAGGCTGACTACAGACGATCGACAGACGCCTGACTAAAAGAGCCATCATCTTTGACGGTGAGGATCTTGAAAAACCTGCAAATGGGGAGAAAAAGTGCAACAATTGGTATTCACACAGAAGATCGAATTCAGACAATTCATTTTTCACACCCAAAAGATAGGCAGGTGTATAGCCTTTGCATTTCACCCCAAAAATTTTCGGGAAAAAACTTATTCCTATTAATTTGGCATCGTAGATTCCAAAACGTCTCGTATTTTGTCGATTGGACCTCTTAATCAAATGTTATAGCTTAAATAAGCAGAGGTTATAGGCTAAAAACAAATTTCGAAAAGAATAAAAAGGGGCTGTAACTTTTGACCTAGTTACCCAATAATCAAACTGTTTGAAATTATGGAATCTACAAGCCAAAGTCTATAAGAAAATGTCTTTTCCCGGTCGATTTCAGAAAATTTTTTTCAGACGCAAAAACGTTTTTCACCGAAAATCGACTACTCCAAAATTTGCCGGGAAAGCACATTTCGTATAATTTTTGGTGCGCAGAATTTTTTCGATTAAACCATTCAATCAAAAGTTATGGGCAAAAAACCAATTTCGCGAAAAAAATTCAAAGGGCTGTAACTTTTGATGTAGTGGCCCAATATTCAAACTGTTTAAAATTCCGAACTCAAAAAGAAGCAAGTGTATAACCTTCGTTTTTTACCGAAAATCAACTACTTCTTTGATTTATATTGCGAAATTGGTTTTTAGTCCATAACTTTTGATTGCGAAGTCTAATCGAAAAAGTACGAATCGTTTTGGATTCTACGCACCAAAATTAAGAAGAAAAAGTGTTTTCCCGAGAAATTTTAGTGTAGTCGATTTTTGGTAAAAAAGGAAGGTTATTACTGCCTTATTTTGAGGCCCCAAGAAAAAATTGTACCAGATCGACCGGAAAAAAACATTTTCTTATAGAATATGGCCTGTTGATTCCATAATTTCAAACAGTACCAGGATTGGGCTACTAGATCAAAAGTTACAGCCCTTTGAATTTTCTTTCGAAATTGGTTTTTAGTCCATAACTTTTGAATGAGAAGTCTAATCGAAAAAGTACGAATCGTTTTGGATCCAACGCACCAAAATTAATCAGAAAAAGTGTTTTCCCGAGAAATTTTAGTGTAGTCGATTATTGAAGTACAATTGCTCTACAAATCCTCCATGAAATTGCACATTTTCAACTGCCCTTTAAGGAAAATTGAGTCGGACGTGGCTATTAAGTGCAAAAATTAAAATGTTCTTGTGAGGGTAATGGCGTACGTGGCGACATCTCATTGGAACTGGTTCAACTATTATAAGAACTAAATTTGGAAAAGTATAGGGATTACCAAAGAGATGGCGCAAATGTACCAATTGCATACACAAAAGACAATTGCAGATACTGGATTATTGAAGTACATTTGCTCTACAAATCCTACATGAAATTGCACATTATCAACTGCCCTTTAAGGAAATGACCTGTAGATTCCATAATTTCAAACAGTTCCAAGATTGGGCTACTAGATCAAAAGTTACAACCCTTTGAATTTTCTTTCGGAATTGGTTTTTAGTCAATAACTTTTGAATGAGAAGTCTAATCGAAAAAGTACGAGTCGTTTTGTATTCTACGCACCAAAATTAAGAAGAAAAAGTGTTTTCCCGAGAAATTTTAGTGTGGTCGATTTTTGGTAAAAAAGGAAGGTTATTACTGCCTTTTTTTTGGCCCCAAGAAAAAATTGTCTCAGATCGACCGGAAAAAAACATTTTCTTATAGAATATGGCCTGTAGATTCCATAATTTCAAACAGTTCCAAGATTGGGCTACTAGATCAAAAGTTACAGCCCTTTGAATTTTGTTTCGAAATTGGTTTTTAGTCCATAACCTTTGATTGAGAAGTCTAATCGAAAAAGTACGAAGCGTTTTGGATTCTACGCACCAAAATTAATAAGAAATTTTGGTGTAGTCGATTATTGAAGTACAATTGCTCTACTAATCCTACATGAAATTGCACATTTTCAACTGCCCTTTAAGGAAAATTGAGTCGGACGTGGCTATTAAGTGCATAAATTAAAATGCTCTTGTGAAGTTAGTGTCGTACGTGGCGACATCTCATTGGAACTGGTTCAACTATTACAAGAATTAAATTTGGAAAAGTATAGGGATTACCAAAGAGATGGCGTTTTTATGTGTTCCTTCCCTCTCACTTCGGTGCAATCTGATTACTCCCTTCGCTTCTTCTGCTTCTTCGCCACTAAGTGGAGAAAGAAGAGGCCCAGGAAGTCCTCCATGGCAGATGTGTGTGCTCCAGGACTCAGGTTGCAATCTGTTTAATTGGGTCTGGGCTAGTTTTGATTCTGCTTTGGGCCCCCATACCACAAGATAGATAGGCCAAAGGTGTATAACCAGAAGGAGAGGCTGGGATTTAGTCCCAATTTCCTCCCCTAAGGCGCCTAGAGCTCCAGCAAGGTTTCCACGTTAACGTCTTGTCCAACGTGATTCATAAGTATTTGCATTCTGGAGTGTAGGTATACTCGCGCCTCGATATATATCGGGATTTCTGGAATAATTTCGTACTATATTAGGAATGTTTCAATTTATGTTATATCGTGATCGTTTTATCTTAAAAATAGAAAACGCCACGGGGTGTTTTACATCCGTTTTTCGGCAGTCGTTAAGTTTGGGTAATTTTGCGCCCCTTCTTGATCTGCGCCGTAAGCGGAGAGTTACACCGCTTACGCCTAAAGCCGGCCCTGCATTTATTCAAAATAATGGCGTATATCTTATCATTGTGCATGAAATATCACGTGCGAAGTACGTTGATTCGTTGACTTGTGCTGTACAATTATCAGAAAGTGACTCGAGATCCTGTTATACTACACGCCACTTCTTTTATAGTTTATAACACAAATGAAGAAAATCTAAAACTATGATTATTGCTGTTGGCAATCTAAGAAAAGACATTTTTTTATTGTATGTTGATGAGGTACTTAGAACACTAGTCACACGCATTCTTGCACCGCAGTTAATGATTGCTTTAATGAGAAATGTTCATTTCAATGCTTTATTGTTTAAACTAAAACGCAAGCTAACGTCGATATCTATTGGTTGCTATTGGAACAAAGTGAAAGTTGCCGTTTTTTTTCTAACATTTTTACTTACATCCTAACACTACCCACTATCACAAATTAGCTACTGCTACTGAAGCTTGATAAATTTCTTGAAATTGCTGGCTAAACCTATCTACTAGGACCTATGACAACTAGATCTTTGGACGGACTGTTGATAAGGTTTCCCTAATTATTTAACTAAAATTTAAAATTTCACAATTGAACCACTAAATCAGATAGAATTTTTGAATAGTTTTTTGATTGGTTGGTCTCATCCTGAATTGCTACCATCGCTAAAATCTAACAAAAGGTAACACCAACTCGACCAACAACAACTATGCTACCTCCGCGCAGTTTCCGAAACGTTTCTTGATCTCCTCCGCGTCGGCGACTTCTGCGAGCAGATGCAAACAAGACTCCGTTAAATAGGGGTCGTCATCGCGAACGATCTTGAAACGTCCCGGTGACCTTTTCGGCCTGAAATTGTCACGCTTTAATCTTAGTGTCGAGTTAAGGCCGCACCTTCCTCTGGGGTTGCTCGATCGACTTCTCTTCGCTCCGTTGACGTTTCGGAACAAACTGAAGAGAAGATCGATGTCTGGTCGCGTGACGACTTCCCTTGCTTCCTTACTCTCTGAAAGTGCACCTTTGGGATCGTGTTAAAAACACTCGGTCACTTACCAATCGTCTCCTGTTTCTGTTCATCGTCGTAGTAAACTGTTGCCGGTGACACGATTTGAGTTTTGTTAGGCTGTTGCCAAAACGATTGCGGAAAGGCACGAGATTTCATTGGTAACGGATCTAAATTCGTTCAGTTTAAACCACGTCATCAGCTATGGGTTTACCTCTCTTCAGTTTCATAATACTCGCATTTGGTGTTGTTTTCGCGTTCGAAGGAATATTACATCATTTCGGGATCTTTACGTTTTGTCTTCCATTGTATTCGATTAGATGGTATTTGAGACATTAACATTTAAAGCTGGGAATGTTTGTAATCATTACCTGGTCGTTATGGATACGTCGCAGAAGCGGTCACGCAACAAATAAAATAAGAATTCGATTTTATAGCCACTGGTGGTGTTTGGTAAGGCATTCCGATGTACTTTCAAAAAAGTACTACTAAAGCGGCACTTAATGGAAGAAAGTGCGTTATTTAGAGATGTTTTTGTTTTTTTTTGGTGCAAACAACGTTTTTATTAAAATATTTCTAATGATAGATGCGAATAATACTACTACTTCCATAGGACAAGGGAAGAGATAAATCGCTTTCAAGATAGCTTCTGTAGATTAAAAAAATTTTTTAGAATGTTTTCAAATTTTTGGGCCGTAGAATTCCGGAAATGTCCTGGATGGTTCTCATAAGTCTTAACACTCAAACTAGGGAATCCTGATCCTTTCCAAGGTTTTCAAGGAGCTCTCTAGGCTTTTTTTCTAATCTTTCTAGCGCATTTTCTGAATGTCTTGACTCTTTCCCTAGTTTTGGTTAAGCTATGTGACTCTCTCGAAAGCGCTAGGGGAGGCCCGAGGAGGCTCCTGGAAACGCTCGGGATACCTAAGAGCAGTCCTCAAGTTGAAGAAAATTATTCTATTTTCTATCCAAGGCTAGTGACAAAACTTTCCAGGTTTTTGCAGGCATTTAAGGCGCCTTTAATTCGCCTTTAAGTCCTGAGCCTTTTTTAGGCATTTAAGGCGCCTTTAATTCCTTTTCCTGAGCCTTCTAGCCACTTTTGATCTTTCTAGTTAATAGATTTCTATGGTCTTACCAGAGCCTTACACGCTTCATCGAGAGCTATGCAGACTTGCCAAGCTCTGGTAAGGATCCGCTAAGGACCTAAAGGCTTTGTTTAAATTTTTGCGAAATTTTCTGAATTTTTTGCGTTTTTGCTAATTTTCCCAAAAGAACCTTTCCTTCCTACCTCTCAAAGGTAGAGTTTGAGTTTTGAGTTCAAGCTTTAAATTGCAAATTTAATTTGGAACAAAGTGGTTTTGGGGCACTGAGTTTGTCCAAAATATGATGAGAGCGCTGTTCGAACAACATTTTGCATAGCGATGCCGAAAGAATGTCTGTTTTTAATATTCCCGCACTCACAAGGTAAACGGACATCTGGTTTTTACGATTTTATAAAATCCTACGTTCAATTTGGAGGCTTGACTGTGGTATGACTAATTCCAACGCGATAAACCAGGTAAATTTGATTATTTCTTATCCTAAAGTAACATAACATTTGCCGATTTAGTCGTCAATTGGAACGTGAACTGTGCAGTACGTGTAATTTAGCGGATGGTTTCCTTAAATTTGACGAAGGATTAACCGGTAATTATTAATGAATTAATTTACTATCATTAAACGTAAAACCGATTGAGTATTGAACTTTTTTGGAAACGTTTACATGGTCTTCCAAAATTACTTGCATTCAGGCGGGCCCTAGTAACATTATGATATTTTCTGTACATATTTCTTCTGCATTTGCAATTAACAATCTACTGCAACTTTTCATAAACTAATTTTAATTTTGCTCATGTTTATGTTGTACGTTAACTGCAATTAAAAAAACCATAAAACATCATGGAAAAAAATTGTAAACCATAACCTACGCAGCTCATGGTAATGAATAATACTGAAATTTAAATAAAAATTGTAATTTAAACATTTGATTCACTAATTTACTGCAATTATAGTTTCTGTGATTATAGCGCCACCTGGTACCATGACAAAAAAATGTTTCATACTTTTTTGAGTAAAATCCAGATATGGGAAAAAATTGCGGGTTCCCATTTGAAATTACAAAGTTGCTCCCCTTACACCCCAAAAGTGGGAAATGGGGGGAATTGTCGGATCATTCGGTAGAAAACAACAGTATTAATAAGCTCCCAGGGCTATTTTTGAATATTTTTCAGCCCCTGAAGTATAAAAAATTCGTTAAGCCGCTTGTGAGCAAGAGGAAAATGCACATTCAAATTCGTTTTGTCGACTTTAATGGCCCTTATTAGTAGTTCTGAAACCTTAACGAGAATACAAACCTGAAACAATTTTTAATTTCTGATCGAATTACACCAATACCAAGTCTGTAAGTGGTGTAGTTCTGAAGCCTTTGTGACAGACAGACAGACATCAAAAACTCAAGAGTGCACTTTTTACATTTTTTGAAAGTGAAACTGTATTAAAAAGGGTAGACGGGTGGTCTCAACCAATCTATATTTTAATATAACATTGTTAGGGGTTTTTCGACAATAATTATTTACGTATTTGTATCTGCACGTAAAAACCATTTTAAGCATAGTCAGAAAAATTGCGAAGTTCATGATCAATTCAAATGGAATTAATTTTTAAACGTAATCGTTTTCCTTGAGGGAAAGTTATGAGAAAGTGTAAGTCTCGTTTAGGGGTAGTCGGGCCATATTTATTCCCGCATTTGTTGGATTCTTAATCTAAATATATCAACCGTTAAACATCGCCAAAGAAATTGCTCATTTCGATTGGGATAATTTTTAAGCGTAGTCTTTTTCTCTGGGCTAAAGGGATGAGAAAATGTAGGCCTCATTTAGGGGTAGTCGAGCCACATTTATTCTCATATTTGTTGGATTCTCAATCTAGTTATATCAACCCTTAGACATTATCAAAGGAATTGTGACATTCATGCTCAATTCGACTAGAATCGTTTTCCTTGGGATAAATATATTAGGGGATTTAAGTCTAGTATAGGGGTTGTTGAGTAATATTTATGCACGTTTGTTAGTTGTTCCTTGCTATAAGGTTGCGGATGAGGAGTAGTCGAGCCATACTATTCTCGTATTGGTTGGATTCTTAATCTTAATATTTCAACCCTTAATAAATTGTTACCTTCATGCTCAATTCAACTGGGATCAATTTTTTAACTCAATCTATTTTCCTTGGGGGAAAGTTATCAGGGAATTTAATTCTAATTTAGGGTTAGTCGAGCAATAGTTTAAACGCATTTGTTGAATTCGTAATCTACAAATATTCGCCCTTAAATGTTGCCAAAAGAATTGCGACATTCGACCTCAGTTGGAATGGAATTAATTTTTGAATGTAATCGTGTTCCTTGGGTTAAGTTAACAGTGAATTTAAGTCTAATTAAGAGTAGTCGGGCCATATTTGTTCCTGTATTTGTTGGATTCCTAACCTACAGATATCAACCCTTAAACATGGTCAGTGGAATTCGATTGGAATGAATTTCTAAACGTAGGTAATGCTTTTCCCTGGGATAAAGTTATGAGATAATGTAAGTCCCATTGAGGGGTAGTCGGGACAGATTGATTCCCGTATTGTTGGAGTCTTAATCTGGATTATATCAACCCTTAAACATCATCAAAGCAATTGCGATGTTCAATTTGGAGGCAGGACTGTGGTATGACTAACTACAACGCGACAAACCAGGTAAATCTGATTATTTCTTATCCTAAGCAACATAACATTTGCTGATTTAGTCGTGCATTGGAATGTGAACTATGCAGTACGTGTAATTTAGCGGATGCCGGATGGTTTTATTAAATTTGACGAAGGATTGACCGGTAATTATTAATGAGTTAATTTACTGTCATTAAACGTATTTTCTGCAAACGTTGTTATGGTATTCCAAAAGTTACTCGCATTTAGGCGGGCCCTATTAACATTATGACATTTTCTGTAGGTATATATCCGTTCTGCATTTGCAATTAACAATCTACTCGAACTTTTTATAAACTAATTTTAAATTTGATAATGTTTTTGTTTATAAAAAAACATTCTACGTAACTGCAATTAAAAAAAACCATAAACCCTAACTACTCAGCAATATTGAAATTTTAAAAAATTGTAATTTTAACCATTTATGTGACCAATTCACTGCAATTAGTTTCTGTTATTACAGCAACACCTGTTACCATGACAACAAAAACTTATTTGACTAAAATCGAGATAAGGAATAAAAAATGTAGGTTCCCATTTAAAATCACAAAACTACCCCCCTACCACCCCAAAAGTAGAAATTTTCAGGTCAAACGATAGAAAACAACAATGTTAATAAGTTCCCTGGGCTCTTTTTTAAAAACTTATAAGCTACTGAGATATAAAACGGGGGGACGGGTGGTGTCAACCACTCTGTATTTGTTACGTCTATTGCGAACAATATCCGTCTTCAGGGAATTTAGCCTAATTTAGGGTTAGTCGGGCAATATTTGTACCTACATGAATTTGTTGGATGGATTCGTAATCTACAAATCTTCACCCTTAAATATTGCCAAAAGGTGACATTCATGCCCAATTCGCCTGGAATTAATTTTTAAACGTATTCGTTTTCCTTGGGCTAAAGTTATAAGAGAATAGGGCTCATTTAGAGGTAGTTGGGCCATATTTATTCCCATATTTGTTGAATTCTTAATCTAGATATATCAACCCTTAAATAACGTCAAAGCAATTGTGACATTCATGCGCTCAACTCGATTGAAACTAATTTTAAAACGTAATCGTTTTCCTTGGGGTAAAGTTAACAAGGAATTTAAGTCTAATTTAGGGGTAGTCGGGCTATATTTATTCCCGTATTTGTTGGATTCTCAATCTAGATATATCAACCCTTAGACATTGTCAAAGGAATCGTGACATTCATGCTCCATTCAACTAGAATTAATTTTTAAACTTAATCGTTTTCCTTGGGGTAAATATACTAGGGAATTTAAGTCTAATATAGGGGTAGTTGGGTAATATTTTTGCAGGTATTTGTTAGTTTTTCCTTGCGATAAAGTTATTAGGGAATTTAATTTCATGACGATGTAGTCGGGCTATTCCCGTATTCGTTGGTTTCTTAATCTAGATATTTCAACCCTTAAACATCATCGAAAGAGTTGGGACATTCATGCTCAGTTCGACTGGAATTAATTTTTAAACGTAATAGTTTTTCTTGGGGGAAAATAATCAGGGAGTTTAATTCTAATTTAGGGGTAGTCGGGAAATATTTTTGAAAAAATTTGTTAGATTGCTAAGTACAGATATTCACCCTTAAACGTTATCAAAAGGATGGCGACATTTATGCTCAGTTCGATTAGCATCAATTTC